TATTATGACTATACCTCTCTAATCTAGCTAGGCTACATGTTATTGCATGCAACTAATTAATTAAAAAAAATAGAACTAAATGCGATCATACAAGAATTATGCTATACATATTATCTTACAAAAATGTATAAAATTGGTTAACCTATATCACTTGCCTAACTTATTTACATACTCCCTTCTTCTCTTCTTCTTCTTCTTCTTCTTCTTCTTCTTTTTAATGTTTTGTGCATTTGGATTTTTCTCACTATCCGCATGTTGATGCAATTTTCTATATATTTGTCAAATATAAGAATAAATCTAGTCAAGTTGGGTATAATTTAATTCGTCTTAATAAATACATCATTGATATTCAATCGTTTTAATTTTTACAAACATGCAATTATTCATTAATTTTTTAACAACTTACTTAATTTTAGGAAATTTTTAAATTACCATCCAAAAATGTATCCATTTTCAAAATAACCATCCGTTTAATTTTTTTTTTTAAATTATCACCCCTTAATATAAATAATCGCTCAGATTACCACCCATTTCAAAATTTCGGTGGGTTTTCCATCTGTGAGCCCCACCTAACGGCTACTAACCGCTATTTTGACCCTTTTGACTTATCCCTCCCCCCCCCCCCGATTTTTCTCTTTAAATAGCTCCCAACTTCAATTCGCATTTCCTTCAATAAATTCCACTATAATTGGGGTAAATAGGTAGAATTGGGGGTTTTATGAAATTAGGGTTCATGCTTCATTGAATCAGGGGTTTTCTTAAATTAGGGTTCCTATTTTAATTGAATTGGGGTTTTAGAATTCCCTTACCCCAGCCCCTAGCAGCTCCCCCATCTTCTGCCACCCCACCACATCAACCACCTGCCAGCGAACCTCACCAAGCCCAACCCTTGCTTGCGAAACCCCACCTAGCCCCCACGTCGCCGCTTTCACACAAAACCCCTACCCACGTTGCCGTTTCCTCACGAAACCCCACGTTGCCGCTTCCTCTGCTCATTCCAAGGTTGCACTCTTTAATTTTTTTTTTAAAAAATTTGTTGTTTTTTAGGGTTTTGATTTGTTGGTTTGATAAGATTATTAAATTAATTCAACCAACAATGGATTTGATGCATGTACAAAACTCTGAAATTTTCAAGTGAGTTTGTAATTGATTGAAGAAGAGAGAGAGAAAGAGAAAGAGGAGGAGATTCATAGAGTTGTTGATTTCTCTAGAGATATGGGTTGACAATGGTGACGATGGATAGAAGAGGTGGGTTGTAGTAATTTATGAAGAAAGAGGGAGAAGAAAGTGGATTGTTTAGAAAACTAATGAAGAAATTGAATGAGGAAGGGGTTTGGTTGAGTTCAATAGCATAGAGAGAGAGAGTGAAGTCGAGATAAATGAACAAAAAAAGGAGGGAAATAAGGTAGGTGGGGCTCACAGACGGAAACACCCACCGGAATTTTGAAATAGGTGGTAATCTGAGCGATTTATTTATTTTAAGGGGTGGTAATTTAAAAAAAAAATTAAACGGGTGGTTATTTTGAAAATGGATACATTTTTGGGTGGTAATTTAAAAATTTTCCTTAATTTTATAACAAATTAATATAGGCATGTTCCCCCAAATATTGCAGATTCATAGAGGGTGATGCGTTTGGCACTTTTGGCACCATTTCAAAATGTCTACAAATAAACGAAGTATTTCTTGCAAAAGACACTAACTGCCCACAAACTGTATACTTCTATTAGAATACTCGACCATGTGTTAGAATTCAACTAATTTTCAAGCATGTGTTATTGTGCATTGTATGAGATACATGTGATTGCTTAGTTAGAAGTCAACTAATTTTCAATCATATGTTATTGTGCATTGTATGTGCTTAATAGTTGAGAATAACTAGAGGATTGTAAATGAATATAATTCTAATTATTGATTAGATAAACACGGGGCTGTAAACCCTCAAAAAAGGCCTTATACTCCTTGGTTGCACATGAAGAATTATCAAAGCACTATGGGTTACTCAATGACTCACCCACAAAGTTTTTGTTTCATTTTACAACTATTATATGCCCTCATGACTCTCTGAAACAATGGATTATAGACTTTAATTTTGGCCGTTTCGAGATGTCAGTTCGGGCCCATCTTATTATCTCTTGGATTTCAGCATGTTTAGGCTACACTAAGTTATGTGTGTTCCCAAAACTCGCAAGTGCCCTTCATTACGTCTTTCAACTTGTGTGGGTGCTTTATATAACCCGACATCAATTTTGACCATATCTTCGCCATGGTCAATATATCTCAATTTTGATCATTCGAGAGGTTGTCTCATGTTATTTCTTTTTTCTCTAGCTTGTGTCCAAGGCTACATCCCAAACAAATAATTTTAGTCTAAACTTCTTATTCCAATTATCAATCGATTGCATAGGGCTTATGTTATGTGCATACAACAACCCTTGTTATGCATCTCAACGGTCTCATACTCTCATTGCACCTTTTGACTTGTATGGACACATTATACTTCTTGTGACCCAAAAAAGGCCCATAACATTTTCGGTCATTTTCCTTCCGCGGAAAATCTTGGACAATAAAATTTTGGGGCATCCAAAGATCCATTAACATCTTGGACCATAGCATTTTGGACTCTACTAGCCTTACACAAAAACGCGAGAAAGGAAAGCACAACGTGGTAAAACAACTGAAAAATGGCATTGACGACAGTGGCTGGTGTTAGCGCCGCCATACTTCAACTCCGTAGCGACGTCAAGAGTTCCACCGCCATCTTCCGCCGTGACGTCCGCCAAATTCGTAATTGGATCGAAGAAGAATCTCTCTCCTCTTCTTCTAAGTACCTCCTCTTTCTCTCTTTCTACTTTCCATTTCTTCGCATTTGATTTTCGTGTCCTTTATCAATTTCTGTGTTTGTTAAGCTTTTTGATTCATTTAATTATGAAATTGAAATATTTTATCAGCAATTTAGTTGTTCAATTTCACTATCAAAGTGTTAGGATTTGATTTAATTTGAGAAGTGTTACAATTAGGTTTTGATTATTTAAAATTAATTCATGGCTTAAGTTTGTTCGTTTGAATTCCTATCTTACGAGCTTGATGATGAATTAGTTTCTTTATTGTTAAGCTTCTTGATGTATATAGTTATAAATATTGAATATGATCTTCTCATTTAATTTTCGTGTTCTTTATCAATTTTCTGTTATTGTTAAGCTTTTTGATTCATTCAATTATGAAATTGAAATACTTTATCAGCAATTCAATTATTCAATTTTACCAGTCAAGTGTTAGGATTTGATTCGTTTGTGTCAATGTAGTGTATCATTGAGAGTTTAGTAATTCAATTTAGTTTTGAATTATTTATTTGTATTGTGATTCTATAAGCATCTTTTTCTTTGTTATATTATATCACGATTGTCGATGAATTAGTTTCTTTGTCAAGCTTCTTGATGTATATGATTAAGATATTGAATACATTATTAGCAATTTAATTATTCAATATAACTAGAGAAGGTATAGGATATTCAATAATTATTCAATTTAATTATTCAATTCTGAGAGAATTATTGCAATTAGGTTAAATTTATAAAATCTATTGTATGTTTTGTGACTATTGTGACAAGTAATGGATAGTGGAAGTATAGTGGTTACCAAATGGATTCATGTTTTGTGGATTTACTAGAAATTTGGTCTCTTTTTTAACTGAAGCTTATTAGAGTGTATATATACCTTTGTATTTAGATGTAGGGTTGCGTACATATGGAGTTATGGACTTCTCGAGACATTGCGTTGACCGAACTCATTATCTGTTGGTGAAACGCTTGGCTGATGGTTTTTTTTGAGTCGCAAAAGTTGTTCTTATTGATCAAAATTTTTAATGCCTTTTCTAAATGTTAAACGTTTGATAAACCTAATTTACATTTGTTTGGTGCTTCGATGAAAAAGGTGAATACAGGCTGAGATGTGAGTCAATGACACTGCTCCGTTGTTTCATTGTTTACCTGTGTTATGGACTTAGGGGTCTGCCTCAAAGCTTTGCATTTAGTTCTTACTTGGAAATGATTAGGTCAAACTGTGAGGCACTGGTGCATTTAGCAGAGAATAGAGTTGTAATACTGTGCAGACATTCAAGACATTAGTAAAACATGGAAGGCCAATCCGCTAATATCTTATGAAAGAGCATTAATGCACTGGCTGTTGTCAATATCTTGATGAATTTGATACTTTGAGATGTTAAAGTCTCACATATGAATGAATACCCTTAATTATGTTAACATGACAACTATAATATTGCACAAATTTGTGCCCTGCCTAATAATAATAAGGCTATGACAGAATTCTGTTACCTATTGATTGATTCCTATGAAATTTCGTATAAAAGTTTTAGTTTGATTAACTGCTCAATATTTGGTAGACATAAATCAGTCACTTTGTCTCCTCCTGCTAAAATGGTCTCTCTGGTTATGATCTTGGGCGTACTATATTCATGGAAGGTAGAACCATTGTGTTAATTAGTTTGGTGGTTAAAGTGAATGCCTGATTGTTTGAGAAACATTAGGATATTCTTGGTTTTCAATAGATGATAATGTCGAGAATTTTACGGGTTTAAAGAAAAGAAAGTTCTACCAATTTAGTCAGTTAATTACATTAGAACTTTAGAAGGATCTGCTATGCTGGACCAACATACATAGATTAGGTATATGCAGGCAAGGTCAGACATGGATATCTTCAGCGTGTTTTCTCTGTATATCTATAATGATTTGTATGGTCTCATGTCTCATGAGTAATGATGTATCTGGGTGATATAATTGGCTCTTGAGTAGTACTCGTACTTTGGTTAGGATAGTCTATGTGACTTAGAGGTATCTAATCAGCCACTCTATATCTATTGCCTGATGAATTTATTCAATGCACTAAGTAGCTGTTAATGCAAAGTATAAAGCATGTTTTGAATTAGTTTAACAGTTATACTCTTTATCTTTTAGTTTGACTGATGTGTAACTATTTATATTTGTAGGGCAGGAGCGAAAGTTAAACCTAAGCAAGTGGAAGGACAGGTTCATGAGAAGGAAACTCCCAAGGACAATAAGCACTAAAAACTTGATGAGTTGTCTGCGGGAAGAACACGGATCTCTTGAGGCTCTTTTTGTGATATGTCCTGTATAGACTTGAATTTTGTTTAGTTCTAGTAGCATGTTAAAATTTTTGACATTATACATGGTGCTGCGAGATATTGGAACCCATTTGCCTATAGCCTATTGCTTGGTAGTTCTGTTAGGTTGGTATTCTTCTGAATATTGGAATATTTTAGGTGATCATTGTTCTTGTGTAATAAGAGTTGGAAAAGGTACTGGTTGGATAAGTGTGTTCTTAGTAAGGATTGTAAATATGATCAACGCTCATACCTTGTGGCTGTGTAGTTTAACAAGTGAGACTGAAGAGATGAAATGATGGATTGTTCAGGTTATATGGTTCCCAATCTGCTCAAACTACTCTACAGTTTTGAGGTGTAATTTTGCAATTCTAATGTTGAAGATGAAGCACTTGGTGCAGAGGTTGTAGTGTTGCTGCTAAAACTTTCAAATAATTTTTTTTATTCGAGTTTCAGAATTTTCTAGAATATTTGGACATTAGTCTGGAGTAATTGTTTTGGTGTTTGTGTGTTTATTGTGACCTTGAAATGGTTGATTATATTTTACACGTGTTTGTCTTATTTTCTAGTGAATTGGGTATATTCATTAGCTCATTCATAACAATAATAAAGTGCCATTGGCGGTGTAATAACTATGCATTTTGGCTCTCAAGTCTCAACATCCTCATTCTTATATTTTGGCTCTCAATTTCTATTACCTAAGTACCTCTATTTGATTATAACCCGTGCTGTGAAAGATGCAACTTTTCACATGGTGCCCCTCCTTGACAATGGCTATATGACTTATAACTTATGACAAAATGTTCTGTGTTTTATCTATCTATTACTATATAGTATATACTAAAGCTATGTCAAACTAGAGACACTTGGCATTATTTGGTGAAGTTTCCTCAATATCAAACCTACATTTAAAAAAAAAAAAAAAAAATCCTTCAAAAACACTTCCAAAAATAACAGCCATATCAATTTCAAAAACTATCTCAAGGTAATAGGCAACTTAATAATTTAAATTTTTTTAAAATTACTATCCAATATACTATTATCCTTAAAAAGAAATTTAAGAATAAAAATAAAAAATTCTATTACTGTATGAAGAAAAACACCCATTAATTTAGAGAGAGAGCGCGTCAAAACCACCATCTATTGTACAGGGTTTATTAACAATTTTAAATTATAGGTTACTTCAAGAGTTCCTATGTTTGAGTATTCTTGAATTATTGATAGTGTTAATTATAAACAAACGTACAAGTTTACACATACAATTATACAAACATATACGGAGTATTGTATTAAGTTGAAAAGCTTGCCCACACTTTTTGAAAATATATATGCATAATGAGAAATAAATGCGAGCACTAAAACAATTTATTAAAAAGATTCACAATTTTAGATAATATTAACATTAATATTATGATAATACATTCAATATGGACCCTAAGATTTAATATGCGTGCCCATGTAATACATTTGATAATATGCTAAGCGATTTATTTTTAATAAGAAGAACACTAAACTGAGCATCTCGGGTACAAAACTTATTCTTTCCCTTTTACTTCATTCTTTCCTTTCTCTATAAGACTATTCTCCTCTATTGACTTCAGTGAAGGAAAATTTTTCATTGAAAAATGTTTTCAGAAAAACAATGTAATAACTATATATATATATATTTTTTTTTTTTTTTTTGAAAAAGCAACTAATATTCTTATGAGAATTGTTTTTAATGAAAACAAAATTAAGTTTAGAAGCAGGGCCAATATAGTAATTTCAGGGAACATGGAATTGGTTACGCTCAGCATAATCAACCAACCGTCAATTCTCATTCAAGTTTTGATCAAAACTTAATATCAATATCATGCTCGTATAACAAATTTACAACCTATATATATATATATTTCAAATTCTTTCCACTTCATATTTCATTTTTCAGATTTTTGTTTCCCGCCTCTCTCTCTCTCTCTTACAGCCATTCTCAATTCTTACTTTCTCTCTCTTCTTCTCTCTAAACTCCGCCTCTTTCAGAGCTTCGGAAGCCAATCGAAATTCGAAGTTTTCAAGCTAGGATTTCACCTGTAAGTGATCATATAATCACTTCTAATCATTTTTCTTTGTTTATTTTCGTTCATATTCGAAGAATTTGCTACTGAATGTGTACCTCAATTTCTTAATTACTTCTATTAGTTTGCGATTTTTCGTTGATTTAATCTGAAATTCGAAGTCTAATTACATGAAAATCATGTCTACTACTACTAATTACTCACGTTTTTGATGAACTTAAATTGTTGTCGCTGAAATTTATCGGAAATTAGAAACGTTTCGCGATTACAATTGTTGAATATGCTGTGATTTTCCAGCGGAATTCGAATTCGTGTATTCTGTCCATCAAAACACCTCTAAACTTTTAAATTTAGATCGCTTTTGGTAATTAGAGCTTTCGCATTGTAGAAAACCCTAAGGATTGAACCGAGACTAAAGTATGCTCTGTTTTTCATGATTTTCGGTGACAGCTTTGAAAATGCAGCAAGAATCAAGCAATTCGTCAATGGTGATCTCACTTTCAGAACAATGCAGACCTTCTATGGCTGCTGATATCTTCACTTCCAACGGAAACTCAACCAAAAGCACAAAATCAGCAACAGCAGCCAAAATTCTCTCTGTCATGATGATTGCGCACAAAGACCTCGTCAACCGCTACGCTTTCTGCCTCCATCTCCATCAGCTACGCAAGTTCATTGAAGAAGTGGAAACTCTTTGTCAGGAGAAGACGAACCTTCAACTCGCAAATGTAGATCTGAACAATCAGGTTAAGCTCCTCATTCACCAGAACCGGCATCCGTTTTCGGCGCAATTCCGTTGTACTTCTTCTCTCTGTGGAAGCTTCAAGAAGAAAATAGAGAGTGAGCGTTGGAACGAAGGCTTCTCACGTAAGATTCAGAGTCCGAAGAGAGTAATTGAGGAATGTAACAAGGCTGAGAACGACACTACTGCTCGTGTTACTTTGCCGAAGAGTATCACTAATGGATTCCAGAAGTTTGCTGTTGTTATTAGAAGCAGTTCTGCGACTCGGTTTCGTGCTTCAAGTTCTGCCGCTGGTCCGGTATGTAAATCTTTCTGTTTTGTTAGCTTTTAATTTAATTGTGAAAAAGTAATTATTAATTAATGTCTTCAATTTACATGTTCTGTGATTTTGTGCTGGTGAATGCGTGTCTAATCATTATTATTTTCGACAAATAACTGGAGTTTTGGTCACTAACTAAAGTTAATTATGGAGCTTAGGTGATTTAGTTAAGAGTTAGGGTTGCAAATTGTGATGTTTTATGCAATTATTTGCTGTTATTGTGATTAGACCATAACACAATTGCATACAATAACAGCAAATTGTTATTGTTTTATGCAATTGTTATTTGCTGATATTGTGATTAGACCAGGCCATGTATGTTAATTAGACCATCACAACTGAATGATTGTTTTTAAAGTGCTGGAATATGCAGTCTATGGCTTCTTTGCGATAATATGCTCGTTATAAGATACTCCGAATTAGATATATATCATAATATCAATGGATCTAATCGTAATTGATGAAATTTTCAGCCATCATCAGACTCGTACTCGGTGCCATACGAGATGTCCTCGTCCTCCTCGTCATCGTCATCATCTGAACTTCATAGCCGCGGCTCTAGTGAAGGAGAAGGCCAAGAAGAAGAAGAGAGGATTGAAAGTGTTGGTGGGGAAAATGGTGAAAGGAGATACCGGCCACATTGGAGACGCATTCCTGTTTTTCAGAGAGTTCATTCAATTGATACTGGATCTCATGAAGACAATCTGTTGGCTGAGGTGTCATTGTTTGAAGCACATGGCTATTATACATTTGCCAGGGATGTACGATCTGAAAGTGGTCTGGTTGATGATGAACACACCTTAATTCACATTTGCTGCCCATGGCTACCACAATACTTGAAGACTGAATATTATGAGGCAAGGAGTGGACTGGAGATTCTTTTGGACCCACTAACAGTTCGTTGGGAAAGTTTCATCGAGAGAATTTCTAAAATAATAATGATTAGAGAAGAGGCTGCTATAGTGATTCGTGTCTTCAAGGCTGATGTTTTGGAACATGATGTGAAGATTCCTAAATCGGTGTGTAAGTCATATCAGAAGTTCAGAAAAGTGATATACTTTTGTCACACTAGCTACGAAAAACGAGACCCTGAAGATTTGAGCCCAGTTTATTATCCATGGCCTGGTGCTCAACTTGAATACTATAATGGACTAGAAGAGCACCTGATCATGCCCGAAGAAGGAGAAGAAGAAGAAGAAGAAGAAGAAGAAGAAGAAGAAGGAGAAGAGCAAGAGGAGGAAGAGGAGGATAATGGTGGAGAAATTGTTGATGATGGCGAAGGCGAGGACAATGAAATCATTCAAGAAGATGTGGAAGGTGATGTCATGGGTGAGGATACTCCATGGACCAGGTTCATGATGGCTCTCTCTTGTGTTCACATCAATATACTTGATTGAGAAGCTCAGGTGTATGATGTGTTTCTGTTGTTTGATTGCCGATGAAGGTGGCATATTAGACTTAAATTCTTGGAGGTCATACTCTCCTCCATTATGCTTCAGGAAGTACTATCTAATGGACTAGATTCATAGTTGTTTTCACTATTCTATGGAAACATAGTAGTTTTGTTTTTCTTCTTGGCTGTAAGAATATCTTTGTTATAGGTAGATAATTCTCCTCACCACTTGTTGATCTCTAAAATGTCTAGTTTGTATCAACCATCATGAATATGAGGTTGGGGAAAAGATTACATTACAATTGTGAGTTGTCTGTGCTTTCAGCCTGTCATTTTTTCTTCTTATGTCGACAAGATTTGCCTGACTTTTAATTTGATCGTTCACTTTCAGTTCTCTCAAAGTCTCAAGTAAATGGTTTTCATAGTCAATTCATTCGTGATCTGTGTTAATTTCTTTATCCGGAGTGCCTATTTCTTCAATCTTGTTTGTACCTCTTGAGTACATTATACTGGTGTCTGGTATACTCAGTGTTGTCGTTGTAGTGACTACCAATCTACCATATCCTGTGAAGTCTCATATAATGGTTTACCATATCCTGTGAAGTCTCATATAATGGTTGTTAGTTGACTTGTGTGATTCTGCCATTTAGCTGATTCTGTACCTTCTTTGCTTCTTTACACTATGTTTGGATAGCAAACAAGGAGGGAAACGAAGGGGAAGGACATAGGAGGAAGGGAAGGGAAGAGAAAGGGAGGGGAAATGTGAGGTCCATATTCCCTACAAATCTCTCCAAATTTGGAGGTATTGAACTTATTAAAGAGGTAGAGAAAGTGGATCCCTCCCTTTCCCTCAGCTTCCTTTCCCAAATCTTTTCCCAAACACTGGAAACTAACTCCCTCCCTTTCTCTCCCCTTTCCCTCCAATTCCATCTGTCCAAACATAGGGTTAGTCTCTATATACTTCGTATATATGATCTCTGAAATTCTTTGTAACTTTCATTATTGGTTCCCGACTTATGGGATATGGGCTACAACACTTATTTACTCTGTTGCCAGTCCTTGTGATCCCCCATTATCACTCAGTGAAAGGTTGTCTCCACTGTCTGTTGCTTGCTTAAGCCATGATTAAATGTTGACTTGCCTAATTGGTACCAGATTACATACTCTGGGTAATATTGAATTTATCATAATGCATTATCTTTTTCTCCTTTGCTACTGATTTAGATTGTTGAAGTAATAGTAGGTAATTGAGACCTGATTTTTGGGCATCAGCTGAAAGGGTCGTACTTCAATGATTTATTAATAGCTTCATGTTGGAAAAAAAAAAAAAAAAAAAAGAACCCCACAGATGATCTCTATTACAATGAGCTGATTCAAGAGATGTGAATCAACCATCCTTCTCGATAACAAAAGACTATGTTGGTCTGCAGCTATATGCTTCCATCTTCAAGTTGCAAGCAGTTTGGCAAACTATCTTCCATTAGAAATTGGATTGTATGTATTGAATTCTTTATTATTTATATAAGTAGTACAGTATCTGTTTAGGCATTCTGCAGCAATTTTCTTTCCTGCATAGTTCAGCATGAGCTCAGCTGCCTTCCCCAATTGTGTCACAACTGTGTTCAAGCAGATTTTTCGCCCATTCATAAACAAGTTCAGGTCAAACTGACCTAGTCCATTGTTATGAATTTGGACACTATCCCTTAGTCCGAAACAAGCTATATATCTGAGATGGCTCGAGCCAAGTTAGTGTGCTTGAGTCTTGATTATATGGTCATATGGGGGCACAGCTATATTGCACAAATTAAATGAACATGCTACCGAACTCCGTCCTAGTTAAGCACCTCTGATTCGATGAAGTGCATAGTTTAGTACCTCCTGATTGGATGAAGAGCGTACTCTCAATCAATGAGCTAATGAAGGGAGGCAAAGTCAATGAGTCAAATGCCAAAAATAATTAATAAATGAAGGGTCAAAAAACAGAAACTGGGAAAAATAAAAAAAAAATTGAATATACATCTTAATTTTCATTTTCATATAATCCATATATACATCACCATTTGCCAAGGGTATCATGAATAATCCTTTTGGTCTATCAATCATGGCTAACTCATATAGATTTTTCAAAGATTTTACTTTCGAAAAGCGACTTTGAGAAAATGATCAGAATTTCTACTCCAAGAGCTTGAATTACTAGTATTACTAGTCTAAACTGAAGTCTTCAAGCCATATCAGCACCTCATTCCTCTACAACATGGACACAACAGCAGAAGAAAAGAACATATGTAAAGAAATCACTTCACAAAAAAGCTGAATTCACATTATGTAAATTAGCTTCTTACCATAACGAACTCCCATGTTCGGCCAGGATCATTGTAGCAAGCAAGCATGCACCCTTTTCTTGGTCTGAGACCATCTCTTACAAGACTATCGCGAAGTTCTCTTTCTTTTTGTTTGACGATATCTTCTGTTGGTTTCCGCTAAATTTCAATGCAGCAGCAATACCTCCTTCCACCTTTCTCTGGCTGATTGTCTCTTGATTAGGGTCAGGCAAACTAATGGAAATACACCGGCTCAAGTTAGCCATATAAACCAGCACTGTACAAGCAAGTTCTAAAATGTAAATGAATCAGAAACGGTAAATGTGAGGTGTGATTTGTTGCTAGATACTAACTGACTAATGCTGATTCGATATGAAATTTTCTTAACGTTTTTAAAGTTTGCACTTCAACCAACATTCTGGCATTAAGGGAGTCAAGTCAATTTCAAGGAAGCCCAAGACTCACCTGTCAAGGTCTTTGTCTTGAGGAAGGACTATCTAAACAGCTACATTTGACTCCCAGCATCCTTGGTCTCAGTGAAGACAGGGGTAGTCATGGGTATTTTCTCTGCCTTGGAGTTCTTTCCAAATATGTAACTGTAGTTAAGAAAATTTGTCATTGCCTCTCATTGTGGAAATGTGGACCATTAGGGATGTCAACGGGGCGGGGCGGGGCGGGTTTTTGCATTCCCATCCCCATCCCCGCCTCACATTTCCATCCCCATCCCCGTCCCCATCCCCACGGCGGGTCTGAAAATTATCCCCATCCCCGCCCCGGCGGGTCCAACTCCAAAACCACCCCCGCCCCATCACCACGTGGATATCCATCCCCGTCTCAACCCCACGTAATCCCCGCCCCGTACCCGCCAACTCCCCACCTTAAATCCACCACAAATAACATATTTAAACCATTATAAAAAAAATAAAAAAAATATGTACTACAGTCTACAGGCCTACAGTTAACAGCTCAAATAAAAAATAAAAAAAATTAGCAGTACATACTTAACATAATTAAAAAAAAAAACACAGTAACTAATATAATACACTCTAAACAAATAAATGTAACTCTAAATTGTCTAAAGTCCAAATATTAAAAATACATAATAATAACTCTAAGCCTTCAATTATTCTGTGTAGTGCAAACTTCACTTGTACTGGAATCGATATCTCATGTTTCAAATTCTTCCACTAATTCTCCCACCAATTTAGCATATTCATCATCCTTGTATTCTCTACAATCTGAAAATTCAATGTGACTTAATTAAAAAAAATAATAATAATATTATTAATTAAATAAGATTTATAACCACCCACAATTAAAGAGACCAGAACAAGGGTAATAAAAATAAAAGTATGCCCTCTGTCCAGAACTTCAAATTAAATGAAATTATCAAAACATTTTCTAAACTAATATCAATATCATGCAACTCAAAAGTACAAGTAATTACATTATACTCGGAGTAGCAAATTAGCAACATGTATATCCTATAAACTAAAATTTGTAGTAACTCATAAATCATAACACCAAACAATTCAAAGTATCAGACGAATTAGAGTCAAATTAAACATTCAGAAATAGATTAGTTAGAATCTAGGACAGAATTATGGCTAATCAATTTCTTAGTTGATTTGTCAAATTCTTTTTCATCAATAATTGGGGAAAAAATAATTGGGAAATTAAAATAAATAAAAAAAACGAGTAAGAGAGATTGAGATAGTACCGATTATATAGGAAGAGGTAGGGATTATGTAGATCGGAGTGTTGATCAGCGCACAACTCAGCGGCGAGATTCAGAGGTGGTGATTGTCTGATTGATAGAGCTTGAGAGGAGAGGAGAGGAGAGGAGAGTGAATGAGTGATAGTGTCGGCTAGGGTTGAGAATGAAAATGAATATGGTTTTTTTTTTTTTCTTCTAGAAGTCTAGTGTCTAGAGACTTCCTTAATCAAGTCAGTAACATTTTTTTTTGCTGTATAATATTTAACGAAATATGTTATTGCATTATATGGGACGGGTCGGGTATAATGCGGGTATGGGTCAGGTGTGGGGTTGGTCAGGCGGGGCGGGGCGGGGCGGGTATGGGGTGGGTCAGGCGGGGCGGGGCGGGGATGGGGCGGGTATTACTTTAAATCCACCCCCGCCCCATCACCCATGGCGGGTATGGATTTTAGACCCATCCCCGCCCCGCGACCCGCCAAAGCTAGACCCATCCCTGCCCCATCGGGGTGGGGATGGGGCGGGTCTCCTACTAGACCCGCCCCACTGACATCCCTATGGACCATTATTTAGCAAATGATAGGACTAGCCAAAGAATATTAGGATTAAAACTTACCCAGCAACAGAATTAAAGCCAGCTGACCCGGAAAGTTTGTCACCCTGAGTTTCTACGACCACAAATGGGGCATACTTTCGTACCTGTGATTTTGCAAGAAACCACAGTGCTGTGAGTATTTTCATTTACTCTCTTCAAGTTCACAATGGAGATTCAGTAGCAAGAAGGTGACATCTGAGTCCCATTAGTCTTGTGTTACTGAAAGTCTGAAATATCCTACCATGCCAAAGAAGAATAGAGGAGAAAACAAAAATAAAAAGGGACGAGGCTCCAGGGATGGAATAGGCACAAAAAAAATAGCACATAAACAGTCAATGAATCAATGTTGACAGCACACCAATCAATACTCATTCTTCCATTCTCATTCTTCAGGATGGGCTATCAATCCTCTATCATAACCAGTAGCGGTTTATCACCTATACACTCAGGCAGAGAAGGCGAGAAGCTAACCTCATAGTCTGCAGTCCTTTTCAATATCTGGTATTCAGGTGTTTCTAAGTCTGGTGTCTTGTACATCTTTAGGAAAGTGGTTTTCTTTAATAAAGATCAGAAGAACATGAAAAGGTTCGTTGGACTAACAAAGAGTCAATACCTGTCTAAATACATCCCATAAGCCTTCTGTAGAAAAATAGTCATTGGCCTTTATAGAATCCCAGTAATCCTACAGAACACACAATTTCAGACAAGTTCTTATAGTTATAAAGGTACTTTTGAGATACCATACAAGTACTTCAATACACAACTTTTTATTGATTCACTTGAAGATGGAGCTCACCACATGACTACAGAATTTTCCTGTTTCAGGGTTGATTCCCATCACCGATGTTCCAGTGAAAACTAATTCTGGTTTCCATGGCAACAGAACAAATGTCATCACCATAGTCCATCTTGTACTTATCTCATATGGTCCTGTCCACAACAACTCAAGTCATGAAAATGAGCTAGATACAAGCTTAATGAATCATGAATTACACTGTAAGATTCTGCATATACGAAATTTACTTTACAGTAATTAGGTTGCACGTTCAACTTCAAAACGACGTACACACAAGAAGCTTCCCTTATTTACCTTAATGGACTATTTAATTAGTGGTAACAATTCACTTGTCTGAATTAACTAGCTAGCAAAGGGTCTCATTTCAATGTCCTTAACAATGTCATTTCTTCATGTACCAGTAAATCAGTAATACTAACAGTTAGTTCAATGGATAAGATGGCTAAGGGAATGATATCAAATGAAAGTTTTGTATTGTTATTTGGATGATAACGGAAATTTATGAAGAAAATTATAATATTGGGGTGAAATTGTGGATAGTACCAATTATAACATCTTCCCATAAGATAATATCAATTATTTTATCATCCATTATCTCCCTTCATTACCATCAATAAACACACCGTAATGCCAACTTTGAAGAGGTAACGGAAACAAATGAAGAACATACACAAATTGAGATTAGGGTTACACTACTCCGGATGCACAATTAAACAATCATTTAAAAGTATTACCAGATTTACCACCTTAAAGCATGCCAAACTTCAGACAATTAACTGTAACTTTGTAATTTCATTTTCGCTTGTTAACCCTTGGGCGGTTCAGTTTTGTATCTGGGTATAGAAGTTAGAAGATTAGAATTGGGTATTGGGAGTTCATTGGATCATTACCGAGCCGAGCCAAGACCCAACACCAGCAAGATCAGCTTGAACTTGAAGTTAAGCTTGACCCGAACTCAAGACAACCACACACAAGCTCTACTTGTAGCTCACCTTAGGGTCAAACTAAGCTCAACTTGCCACTCAACTTAGGTGAGGTTCATATTGCATTCACCCCAATACATCGTACACGAAGAGACATGTATAATCTTTGTGACTACTTGATAGTTTGAAAAGTTTTTAGAGAACACGATATAGTGCATAATCATATGAGTTGTATCTTAGCACGTGTACTAGATTAAAGTAATTAAGCGGATATGATTTATTTAATATATTTAAGGGTGCTTTATTTTTACGAGGAGGCCCCCATTTCTCATGATGAGAAACAGCTTATGTTTCTCATGGGGGTATAACCGACATTACACCTCATATAAGTCATTTGGTGTATGTGTGATGTGGCGTCATTATTCTGACGTGTTTTACTTGGTTTGCCCAGCTGTGTTTATGGAGTTTTCACAGTGACCCCGTTAGCTTCATCGATTATGGGGTATTCCTGAAGAGTCGAAATCTGGGCAAAACTCAAGTCGAAGACGGCACGGATTCCGGTTTTTCAATTCGACTTCTTGGAATCTCAAGTTGAAGAGCTGGGCGAAACTCAACTCAACTCGAAGAGGTCCCAACTCGAACTCTTAGTTTATCCAGGTTCTTTCTGATTCATGTTCAATTCGAACTTGGGTTCTTTTTATTTTTTCTCAATTCGAACTTGGCTTGTTGTTTTTCCGAATGTTATAGAGTTGAGGGTCGATGTTCAATACGTCGATTGTTTCAATTGACAGAATTATTTCGGCGAGGCAGTTTGGATTTTTTTAGGGTTCGGATTATTTCAATTGACATTATTTGCAGAATTATTTCATTGACAGAATTATTTGCAGATTATTTCAAGGCAGTTCAGATTAATTCGACTTTAATTGTTTTAATTTATTATATTATCTGGAATTAAATAGTGGAATTAGATGCGTTATGCTGCTCTGAAATGTTCATTTGATGGAATGAGGTGAATTTTGCATTTGAAATGTTCATTTGATGGAATGAGGTGAATTATTGATTCATTGGTGCTCATTATTCGTTCTATATATGTGATATTGTGTGATGGTGTGAAATCGTATCGAGTTTTGATTTGTTATGATTGGTTGTGGGTAGATTAGATTAGATTGAGTATTGTGTGTAATGTAATTAACACACTTTATTTGATGTATTTGACAGGATTATGAAAATGTCATCGGGGAATGGTAAGCGTAAACGTACAATGGTGAGGGTTTTTGGTTTTTTTTAGATATATTCTTTAGATTTTTTAGATACAATGGTGAGGTTGGGATGTGATTATGTTTTGAATTATGGTTTTATGTTTTGGTAACGAAGGCCGAAGATGATGAAGAGGGGTATGGGCTCAGTAAGAAGAGTAAGGTATGTGGGCAGAAGACCATGCATTTGTATCCGGAATTGTTTAAGGTACTACAACATGGAATTCTGTTCGGTGCGTGTGAATTTGGTGTTTGGTGTTTTTGCATGATTAAGGTTTATATATGAATTAAGTTACTGGTGTGCTTAGGATGAAGGATTAAGTTATGGAGGGGCTGTCAAAGGTAGAGCGGAGGTGATGGCTGAACATTCAAAGGCCAGAAGCCGGGTAAGTTTTCTTGTTGATTCAGTGGTCATTTGGTGTGGGATATTAACTTAATTACTGTAATTTCATTGGCAGCGTCCTAACATGAGTTGCCGCATTGAGTCATTTGGGCGCATATGTCAGAAATTTGATGATAGGAGAAGACGTTGGGTTTGTGAGATGGGATTTGGTAGTCTTTTACATCTTGCTTTAGATATGCATTTACCAAGACAATTGGCAAACTGGGTGATGACACGGATGGATCCAATCAGTAAAATACTTAGAAGTACCAACGGTGTTGAGTTTAGGTTTTCAAAGAATCAGGTTCGGTGGGTACTAGGGATACCAATGGGTCCTAGGTCTGTTCCTTGTACTAAAACCATGACCGAACGTGATCATGAAAAGGTTCAGAGAATTTTTTTGAAGTATGGTAAATCTGGAGTCCAAGAAGTCTGTTGGACAATCTGGTCAGGTATACACGTCTGTAGGCATACCATTAAGTTCAGATATGATGAATCGGTTGGAGGGGTACTTTGATGCTGGAGAGGAAGAGAAATTCAAGACGTTGTTCTTGATAATTGCTTTGGAGATGGTGTTGTGTCCCATGCAGTCCTCCCGGCTTGCGTCTGACCTACTACCTGCAGTAAGTTGTGCTATGGAGGCAACTGAGTATGATTGGTGTTCTTTAGTGTTGTCGAAGTTGCTGGAGAGCGTTCAAAATTTTGCTCGACGTTTCTATGCTAACGGGTTTGCCAGTGGATGCGGGGGGTGTGCAATATTTGCCGTAGTAAGTGTTTCAGTGTATTCTTGCTTGTTTTGTGTTTCCTTGTGCGTTTTGTTTTAGTAATTGCTTCTTTTTCTTTTACAATTTGGCAGATATTTTACTTGGATCGGTTGGATAGGGATCCTATTGAGTGGGATGTTTTTCCAAGAATTAAAGTGTGGACTATGCAGCAGATTGGGAAGGCAGCAAAATCAGACAAATTGCTGTCTGGCGACTACGGGAAACTAGGGGTAAGCACTTTTGTATTTGTTTCAACTTTTGTGTTGTTTTTATTATTTTGCATAGTATGGTTTAGAGTAACCTTATTCCATTTGTATTTCTTTCTGTGGTTCAAGCTATTGTATGTTGCTTACGGTGAACACCACCCAAGGGATGCAAGGGATAGTGTTGGACCCCTACAAGCTGGAGTGAATAATGTGAGGTTTGATCTTAAAGTAGTTGTTTCACCTGTGTTCTCTGATCTTAAAGTAGTTGCTTACGGTGAACTTTATTGAACTTTATTTGGATGCAGATGCATGATTTACCACCAGTGCCTGGGTTTAACTTCAAGGCTAGGCAAAGGAGGGGCCGAATGCTTGAGCTAACAGATGAATGATTTGGATATTCTTATTTGTATTTCTATTTGTATTTC